GGGGGGGGGGGGGGGGGGGGGGGGGGCTGGAAGTAGGGGATCCTGGATCCTGATCCTGCTTCTACCACTGATTGGCTGTAACCTTGAGCAAGTGACTTTGCCTCTCTGGGTCTCATCTGTAGACTGGAACCTAACTCCTAAGGTTGGTTGGCTGGTTAACATACATAAAATTGCCTGCAACGGTGCTGTGTGCATGTTTGCTGACGTTGTCATCCTCGCTGATGTCATTCCTCAGCTGTCTCTGAGTTTCTTCCCCTTTTACTGGAGAGTGAGCTTGTCTCATGGAATGATGTAAAGTAAGTAAAGTAACAAATGCGTAGTGTCAGGCACACTGTAGTACTTAAATCAAGGAGGGCACCCTTCCTTTCTCTCTCCTTTCCCAGAGAGGAGCCAGACTATGAATCCGAGTCAAGACTGACCCCCACCAGCGCTCTCTGTGTCCAACCTCTGGCCCTTGGCCTCAGTCTCCCCATCTGTGAAAAAAGCTTCTGGGCCAAGTGGTCTCTGACTGTCCATGGCCATATGTGCTCCAGCCGCCTCCTCCCCTCCATTCTCTCCTTCCCTCTCCATTTCCAGCTCACGTCCACTACATCCCCTCCTACTGTAAAGAGAACCCTTGGAATCCTAAAGAGACTGCTGGTGGGCAAGGGGTACCAGCCCTCAAGTTGCCCAGGGCCCATTGGAGGCCTCCAAGGGTTAAGATCCAGAGTGAAGGGGGGTGTGGGGAAGAGGCAGGGAGAGGCCTGGAGCCCAGGGCCTGCCTCCCCTCCCCCTACCCTGGGAACAGAAGCTACTTGTTTGGGCATCAGCCGGCTGGCTTTGAGCTTGGCCAAAGGGAGAATGGGGTGGGGAGGGGAGAGGGCCTTGGAGAGCAGAGGGGACTCCCTTCTTCCAGCCAATGGGCAAGTCCATCACTAGCCCCTAGGACTCTCAGAGGTCCCTTACCCCTATAAACTGACCCCTTCCCCCAGGTTCTGCCGTTTCTTCATTCAAACACTCACTGCTGGGAGCAGGATTTAGACTCAGGCCCAGCTCTTGCCCACGACCAGGCTCTTTTTGGAGCATGGGACCAGGGCTATCACCCCATCCTACAGATGGGGAAATGAAGGCTCTGAGGAACTGAGCCAGGAACTGAGAAGTCTGGGAATTTGTTACTTTATTAACATAGGGTTTGGTGGCAGCAAGGGACTGCCCCACATCCCTGACATTCCCATACCTCTGCAAACCCCTTCCCCACAGAGCTCCAAGGAGGCCCTTGCTAAGCTGAGCCACTACACAGGCCTAAAAGGCTGGGCAGCAATAAGCAGCCCGCCTTTGAAGTCCCAAAGGATCTAGGAGATTTGGAGGGGCAAAAACTTAGGGGACGGAGGATGGGGGGGAGACAAGCAACCTGAACAAAGGGCTGAGGCTTGATGTATGGAAAAGCATGACTGGAACCCAACAGGTGGTGGAGGTGAGGCTGGGGTCAAGTGGGGAATGCCCCAATGAAGCTTGGGTACAATCTGGGCCCCTGGTGGCTTCTGCCAATTTCCATCTCCCTAGTTGTCAGGACTCTGCCTGGATCAGCCCCCTCTTGCCCTACTCCTGTGAGCAAACGGCAAATGGGGAGGCAGAGTTCCCAGGCCAGAGTCTGGACAATCCCAAACCCATGGGACAGGGGGATGAGTTCTCTCTACGCCCTGCCCTTGCTACCCCCCTTCGTGCCATACCCATCTCCTCACCATTCCTCAAATATGCCATGCAAGTTCCTGCCCTTGCACAAGCTATGCCCTCCTCTGGAGGGTCCTTATCCTTGTGAATTGACACTTAACTGCTGAGGCCCATTCCAGTCATCTCCCCCAAGAGTTCCAGTCCCTCGTTCCATCTCAGTGCCTGTTTAGACCTGTCTTTGTGACTCTGCTGTTATCCTTCTACCCTGTAATGAGCTTACTGGGAGGTCTCCCCTAGGCCGGCACTCTGCTCTCTGAGACAGGCGTCCTGGGTGCTCAGTCAAATCCTTCCCCGAGTACCTCTACATATCGGACCCTGTAGCCCTCCCCACCCCCCAAGCCTGGGGATCAGGGAAGGATTCCAGGACAGGAGTTGGGGGTGGGGGGTGCATATGCCAGAAGTCATGTTGTGATGGCTTTTGACCTAAGTTCCCCAGCAACAAAAACACCCCTGGCGATCAGAAACCAAACACCCACCCCATGCCCCCCAGGCTGCACTCCCAAGTCTGCTCTCTCCAGGCCCAATTACCCACTCCAGGCGTGACCCCATTCAATGTGAACACAAACCTCCTTTCTTTCCCCAACAATTGGGCCAGGTAGGGGCTCTTGGGAGGCCATGCCACCATTTACTGGTGGGGAATTGGGGCAGAGACCGGAAGTAGTCTTCCCAAGGTCACTGCCCAGGTCCTGGGCATAGGGTCGTAGCAATGTGCAGAGCTGGGGGGGTCTCCGCGGTCACCGAGGTGCGAGCCTTCATTTCACAGATGAGAAAAGCAAGGCGTCCGAGAAGGGCTAGCTCCGGTCCCGGGAGCCTTCCTGCCAGAGGGCTGAGGGCTGGAAGCCCCCTGTCCCGCCGGTTCGCCCTTCTCTCTACGGTCTCTGGCCCGACGGCGCACCGTCCGGAAGCCACTGCCACCCCCACCGCCACCCCCACCGCGAGACCGGAGAACAGACAACACAACCTGCAGAAACACCCGCGGAAGTAGGTGTCAGGCACAGCATCGCCGCGGGGCCTCGGCGTTCCCTTCTGCGGAATGGGAAAACTCCGGGCCACACCTGGGGAAGGAGCGGGAACGGGGATGCCCCGGCAGCCTCACTGACCTGCTCTGAGCCAAGACCACGAGGAGACCCGGTTCCGGCACCGGCACCGCCACGCTCCCGCA